AAAAAATTACAGTTTTATATCTTTATGTTGGAAGCCTGAAATGTGGCAAAAGGTCGCAAAGTTCAAGGGGGGCGAATACTTTCGCAAGGCACTGTATAGTGCTCATTATACATTATGGCCATTTTTTACATTAATATCTATTCTATTATTGGAATATAATTATTAATGCATTACTTTAATTAGCTGAAGGTGAAGATGCTTATGTTCACTGCCTTATATGATTATAATCAGAATTACTGCTGGATAACTTGTGAATTTCCTACCAGGGACTGATAAACTCGTATGATTATACTTTAATTTTATTAATCTGACTTTTAAAAGCAGGATAACTAAACTTATTAAATAAATATAGCTGAGTCAAAAGTAGGATAACATTTGTCTCTAAGATATAATGAATCCAAGTAGCACAAAGCGAAACTCCTCAAAGTACATACACCTTCCTAGTATAGACCGGTTTTATTTTGAAGGTCACGCACTCAAACCGGAAGTTTTGTTGGTAAACGACTGATCTGGGGTAAAGTACGCCGAGCGGCTGATTAATAACTAACAGCACAGGAATGTCATTTTGCTCCTTTTTTGGTGGAGAGGTCTTTAAAGACCATTTTAAACCAGGTACCTTGGTGACTTTGAATTCTCATACTTTAAGCCAAATTTCAGCGTAACAGTTTCCGTTTAACGTACGAGGCTAGCCACGGTTAACTAATGAATTGCTACAAAACTTTACAAACAGCTGTTTAGATCGTTTGGGTTGAATTGTCAACTCACATCGCTGTCGGTGCATGCTGCCAATCAATATTATAAGTTCAGGTGGTCACAGAAAACTAAATTGATGGACATGGAAATACTTTAAAATCCTTGTTAGCTAGTACACTTTGGTTTTGTAAGCTGCGTCCAAGTTACACAACTTTTACAGAACTGTATCTGAACAGTTGAGAAGTTGGACTTCCGCCAAGGAAATACACCCATGAACAACTAGAAATTGAAAATTTTGTGCTAATGTCTTTTTAATAGGGTCTTTGAATTTGTTATCCAACCGTCCTCTCCCATCATTTACTCCTCAGGCATCTATGTTTGTTCCAAGTGTGGTCACCAGCTCTTCTCCAGCTGCTCCAAGTACGAGCACTCCTCTCCCTGGCCAGCTTTCACAGAGACCATCCTTAAAGACAGTGTGTCCAAACAACCGGAGCGTCCCAGAGCATTTAAGGTACCACCAGTTACTGTGTTGACTGAATCCTTAAGAGGAAGCTGAGCTTAAAAGTATATTTATTTCTACACCAGGCACCATACACGGAACTGATTGTTACTGGATGGTTGTAAACAACTTATTGGCCTTGAAGGACTTCTCATGTGAAGGACCTAATGAGGACTCTGACCTGGCTGAAACTGCACAAGCTCCCGATTCATGTTGTTGTATGATCTGTTGTTCCAGGTGCTGTGTGGAAAGTGTGGAAACGGACTGGGCCATGAGTTTGTGAACGATGGACCAGCCAAAGGGCAGTCTCGCTTCTGAATATTCAGCAGCTCACTGAAGTTCATCCCTAAAGGTAAACAGTCAGATTATATCACACCAATGGGTTACAGCTGCTGTCTGTTGCCAATCTATGCCCTGAATTGGTAAAGTTTATTCAAACTGTGTTATGTGGGCCCTAGGAGTGCACTGGTACCATATCTCTATTGAGAATACATCTACCATTGCATTATTTAAATGTGCCATTTTAAGACATTTCTTTCAAATACAGTATAAAATAAGATCAAAAATATGTCACCCAAGATGTTCTACCAGCACTGGTTAATTAGCTAAAATCATATTCATAGAATGGATTTGAACACTGTGTTAAAATACTTTTGTATGTTCCTCAAACATATAAAGCAGCATCAAATTTAGAGGCTTTTATATGCAGTGACATGATTATTGTGTCCTCACAGGCAATTAACCATCTCTTCTAATTCAGCAGAGTGTAAAAGCTTAAGCAAAGGCGTTGTTTCAAATCCAGACAGATTGCTTAATATTAAAATGTATATTTAGATACCTCGTCCTTTAAGATTAGGATGTGTCTCCTGTAAAAAAAACACACACTCCAGCACACTGTCACATCTCCCTGTCTCTCTTTGCTCTCCGCAGATAAGGTTGATGGACAGTAAGGTGAGCTGTCAAGGGGAAATGTTGCTCGAGCTGTAAATGTTTCTTTCAGCCACTGACAGTGCGGTCAATGAATGAAGTGCCCTGGGACAAAGCCCAAAGTGGGAGCGCTGGGGCTCTGAGGAATGGTGTCCTCACTGGTCGAGTTTCAGCTCCTTTTATTATGCAACAATGCCTCTGTTTTGCTAAATGTAGTAGATACAGAAAAATGAGCCAATGTCATTAAATTAAAAAAAATGTTTATGCACTCTTCATCATTCTTGAAAAGCTTTATATCAGTGGAACACAATGAGTGGCATATTTTGCTAAACAGTTTCTGGCAATAATCTTGTTTTTAAATAATAAACTACTTCTACTAGATGAGAATGTGATATGTTGCTTCTTCTCTCTCACAAAGATATAAAACCAATTCAAATCCAGTCACCAGTTTTTTCCATTATGTTAATTATCATATATTATGATATTGTATATACTTTCTGAATAATGCAGTATTATCAGACCTTTACTGCACAAAGCTGCTGTTGCAGGGTAAGTGCTTCCATCATGTGGCTGTAATGAGAGTAAGAATGGGTGTTACACAAGAGGAACAGTTGTCACTTGACATGCAGAGTTTTGTTTTTTTCCAGCCTAACCTAGGTGACTCTTTGTGAACAAACACCTGTCGTTTTCCAGCATGTCCTCAGAGACAATCCATCAGGACAGTGTGAAGCACACCCTGAAGCACCTGTCGGATCTCAAATGTTCTTCAAAAGTGCAGTTGCATATTTCCACCAGTTGATGGTACCGTCTGCCCTAAAAATCTACAAAGAATGTACCTGATGCCTCGGTGTAAATACAGTAGATTGCTCGTTGTGTGAAGAATAAAGATACTCAGTGCTGTGCAAAAGTGAGGATGCTTTCAAAAATAATGCCATAAATAGTTTTTATTTATGTATAAAGTTGAGATTACGGCTCTGTGGGGACCATCTGTTGCAGGACTCCTTGTTCTTTTATTGCTTTATGGCTGTTTGGCTTTTTGTCATGCTGCAGAGTGAATTTGGGACCAATTACCTGAGTTCTTATTCATAAAAAAAAACCCAACAGTCATTTTTATAGCACTGTAACATCCTTTGCTGTAAATTCACATGTAAATATCTCTTTTCAACTAAATTCACTGTATTGCAGAGACATAAATGTTGCCTACAAACATTCAGTGTTTCATAACAGGGGAAACCTTTTCTGCATGTTTTTTTTTTTTTTTTTTACTTGAACCTTAATGAACTCTTCCACTTATTAAGAGTAGAGCTTCACTGTGCTACACTATGGACAAAACTCAGATCACACCTTTTACATCATGTTACAGATGTGAGGAGGTTCTGTGTTTTTCTACTTAGAAATGTTTTCTAGATAACTCACTAAGTTGTGTCTGGGCCATGGAGCGGTGGAATTCTAAACAAAGTGAGGATGTGGGGGTATGTTCAACAGCTCTGGTGCTGTTTCAGTGTCTGGGATGAGCAGGTGTGGAGCTGGCCATTTCAAAGGCTGGAAGATCAGAGGGGGAGATGAAAGCTCCAGCGTCAGCCACAGGATTAAGAAAGGAAGCGCAAACATTCACAGCTTGTAATGTAAAAGTATTTAAAGTACAGATTATTTTGTGCATTTTATGTGATGTTGATTTTGTCTGTAAAGAGTGATCCAAACTCTAGTTCACTTCAGAGGGAGCAGTTGTTGGAAACATGCTGATGTAATGTGCTTTTGTGCCTTGTATTTAAAGAGTAGTGATGTTTTTTGCTAAAGATCGTCAAGTTGAGATTTCATCAGGACAAATCTCCCAGTCCTAATGTCGCCTCTCCCCCCGCCTGACTTCATTAATTAAGAAAAACCTTCCTTGTGACTGCTTTGATGTCTTTGTTGTGCGTTCTCTGTTGTATGGCCACACACCTGAGGTAACGTCTAGAAGGGGAAAGAGGAATTTGAGATGGGACGAACAACAAACCCAGCAACAGACAGGCAGATGAAAATACGGAGATAAACCAGATGTGAGAATGAGAAATGGAGAGGAAAAGGAAACTGAAAAACACAGGGCTGTAATTAACATGCTATCAGTGAGAACACTCATTCTGGCTGGCATCTGAACACAGCTGCATGGCCAAGAGGAAGCAAACAGGAAGGAGGAAGTGGTAATCCTGTGATAGAATCATAAGGCAGACTCTGATTGAAACCGCGGTTTTCTTCCACTTACCTCTGGGGCTCATCCTGCTTGTAAGCAAACATGATCCTTAATTACATTAAACTACTACTCCAAAGTCTTCCTCACTCCCAAAGGCCCAGCCTTGAGGTCCAACTAAACATATGTGTGTGATGCTGACTCATTCATAGGGCATGTTGTTTTAATTGTTAATGCATATGAGCCTGCTGCTTAGATGTGGTTGTTTATGGGCACTGCACCTGCTTCTGTTTTGAACTACAGAGAAAAATGATCTTATTCCGTAACCACACGCCATGACATTATATCGATGTCATCAAGGTAAAGTCCCTAAAAACATCTGTCATCTAGAGGCTCTGCTTCACACACCACAGAAGCTGTGATCACTTTGTTGGAGGAATAAAGCACCTAAATGCGTGACTGAAACAGAAGTAGAGAAAACGCCTTTCACCGGGGAGTAATATCTGCAGGATGTGAGTTAATGTCTCCATCCATCCATGGTCTTGCACATACATGTCAACCAAATATCAGTCTCTGTCTGTGTAATGAATGAAAGGATACATGAGTTTTTATACATGACATAGGAATGCGATTTCTGCTCTAGATCAAAGGAAAGTTCTGGAAACTCGAAGCAGTCCAGGTTGGGAATTGTTGTAAAACTGTCAAGACACCATGTGTTTGAAGGCAACGGAGCTTATGAAAACTAAAATGAGAAAACGTTTGCCTTCGGCCCAGCAGTGAACCACAGCATGAAATGATGTGTAGCTGCCTGTGCATAAACAGGTGTGGGTATGGTATAAGAAATGCATATCTTGACGGCCATATTGGTTATAGACACTGTAAATCTAGGATGAGGAGTAATAAAAATGTCGTTACATTGAGGAAGAAACCTCAGAATTAAATTCATTTCAACAAAATATCAACAGTTTAAACATCTGAGAAAATGAAAGCTTGCAAAAAAAGACAAAAAGCACCTTGAAAAATAATGGAGGAGAATATGAGGGCTTCCAGTGAGAAAATAAACAATATGTGAAGTTTCAATG